AGTGCTTTAACATTGAAAGCAAGTTAGAATATTCATCACCAGCTCCTTTATCATCATCTTTTTTTGCACCAACCAAAGACCTAATTTTCCTCTTCCATTGGTAATTAGTCCTACAATCCATTCCCTTATGCCAATAATCTCTACACATAACACAAAACAATGTCCAACACTTTGGACATGTTCTAATTAAAAATCCCTTATGATCATCAATCAAATAACCTGAACAACCCAAAAATGGACACTCAATAATCTTACACGAATACAAAGCCTTAGCTTCACGAACCGTATCGCGCCATTGATTAATAAATTCAGGTGGGACGGAATTTTCATTGATCAACATGTATTCTTTGCAGTCGGATACTGGGCACTTTACTTGTGTTAGAGTTTCTTTGATATTTTCGCGTGCATAGTTAGCTATGCATTCTTTACAATAGACGTGTTCGCAGTTTGGTCCACACATGGTATCATCGGCGTTTGCTGGTGTTGGTTCGTTGCATATAGTACAGTACACACATGAGGGTCCACCTTTTTCGTAGTTGCAGTTACGAAGGTCGATTCCGTCAGTCTCAACAAAGCTGCAGGAATAGTCAATTCCTTTTTTCTTAACGTCGTTAGGGTTAGGGTTTGACTTTGATTTTGCCAAGTAGAAAAGGACTTGTTGTAACTGTATATCGCTATCATCATCATCATCATCATCACTACTGTTGTTGAAGTCGTGCAATTGCATAGGGCTATCGTCATCACTACCATTGTTGACGTCGTTAAAGCCATCCCAACGGCGGCGGTTGCGGCGAGGAGAAGCCATCTCTCTCTTTTTTGTTGTTTGTAGAAAAGAGAAAACCTAAAACGTTGAAAGTAAAAAGAAAAAAAGCAATTTTTTCGTAAGCTATAGTTTGATGTATTTATAGAGAAAAATTATTATTTTTTCTTTCCTTGTCCTTGTCTATTTTGACTTCCTTGTAATAAAAATAAGGTTTGACTGGTTTATTATTTAGTTTAGAGAGCCTTGTTGATTAAGGTTTGTGGAATCTAATTAGATTTGGATTGGTTTTTGATTAAATTAAAATTAATAAATTAATTTAATTATTAAAATTAAAATTAAATCAAATATAATTCATATTCATAGATTTTGTTGTTGTTATCAATTTGGTTTGCTATTTTCGAGTTTTAAAGAAATTTAATGGTATTTCTCTTCTTTTTTTTTCAATAGAAAAGAATTTTAAATATTTTTTTGACTTATTTAAATATGAGTGGATTTTATTTAATTCTAAACAAAAAAAAGTAACAAATCATGATAGATCACATATTATTTTAAGGAGCGAAATTTGATGCAGATTCATAATTTAGGGTATTTTAAGCCGAAAATTAAAGGTTAGGATATTTTTATATTTAAAAATTGAAGGATGTTATTTGTGAGTCATTTTTCATATATTAGGGATACTTTCGGCTCTTTTTTATTGCTTAAATTAATTTAAGATGGTTAAATGCATCTCATACCCTTCAAATTCTGAATACGATTATACATATGATGACTAATGGGATAGTGGAGATTAGTAAAACTTTTATTTATGCCTCAAAAAGTATTGGAGCCCTAAAATTTTTGTAATATTGATTTATTGGTTTTTCTTTTAATAAGTAAAGATTTTATCAATTTTTTTTACTTAAAAGAAAATTGAAATTTGCTAGACAAAATAGAGTACACAATCTTTATAAAAAGGGAAAAAAGTATTATTATTTTTGCAATAGTAAAAGTATTTTAGAAGTTGAATTAAATAGCTAAAATCTTCATGTTATTAGATAGAGTTTTTTATGCAACAAAATCTAAGGTAATGTATTACATACACATGACTAAGAGCATGTTTGAATTGACTTAAAAAAGTACTCTAGTTTTTAAGTCAAAAATAAAAAGTCAAATAATTTTAAGTCAAAAATAAAAAGTAGGGGGAGACCTACTTTTGATTTTTGACTTACTTTAAGTCATTTTGACCTTGTCAAACACTTCATAACTTATTTTAAGTTATTTTTAATATTTGCCAAACGCATAAGTCAAGAATTGACTTAAAAGTAGGTTTGACCAACTTTTAAGTCCACCTATGTTATTAAATAACTCTAATAACATGTTATTACTATAAGAATTTTTTGTCGTAAACTTAAAAATATTATAAGAGTAAGTATGGATTAAAAAAAAAAGATAAACTACTTTATTAGACCTACATCACTTTCATATATACTAATTTTACCTCTACTTTCAAACAATTAAATGTTTTTGTCTTTTATAAATAATATTAATGAATTTATTATTTCAAAGAATAATAAAATGATATTGATTAAACATAGATACACTCTTTGATCTTCGCTGTATATTAAGATATTTAATTAATTTAAATTTTTAGAATTAATTGTCCATGTATTTTGAAAATCCTCAATTACTCCTCTAATTAAGGAAATCAATTACAACCAATTAATTTAAACAAATAAGAAATGTATCTCGATTTTAAAATTTGGTAGATACATGTATCTCGCGGATTCAGACTGATGTATCCTAAGTACGAAATATGGTAGAAGAAGTAATATTTGGAACTATCGAAAATCTTACTAATTAGAACCTAAACTAGTGATGGAATTTATGTAGTTTACCTTTTTAAAAAATGGGACCTCTTTTTAGAAGTTAGCTTTAACTTATCGATTTTATTGAATCACACGTGATCTAGTGTTTAGAAGGTTGAAATTGATAATACGTATTCTTAATAAGTTTTTGACCAAATTTGATTTAAAAAAAACTTATTTTGGAACTGGTTATCATTAGTGTTAGAAGGTTGAAATTGGACTAATTTATGATTCTGAATATTATTTTGTGTCTGAGATTGATATTTATTTTATATGTCTAATACAATTATATATATTCATTTTTATAGGTGAATCTACTAATATAACATATGAGTTCATGTGAAATATAAAATCATGAATGTCAAGAAAAGAAAATATTTTTACACATGAGTTCGTGTAAAATACATACTAGTAATTGACAAGAAAGAGAATATTTTTGCACATGATGAAAGATCCTAAAATTGACAATAGTCCAATTTACGATGTACAAAACTACAAATTTACGAGCCGAAGGAATAAAACTTTCAATATTCAATCTACAATTTAATTTAAAGTTTATTTTTCAATATTATTGTTGTTTTATACATCCTCAAGAATAATATTACTAATTTATCTTGTTAACTCTTATATCCATTAATAGATAAACTCTTTTTTAATCTCTTTTTACTTTCTTTTTTTTATATGGCCTACCATGATATATACTATACAATTTTTTCTATATGGCCTAACATGATATATACTATACAAGATTTTCTACTTATGGACATTTAAATCTACAATCAAACTAAAATCATGCATTCCTCTATCACAAATTATTAGAAATAAAATTGGTATGCCCAAATCATTAAAAAAAATAAAAATTGCCTACAAAAGTTCTAAACATTCTTTAATTGCTTTAATTAGTCTTACAATCCATTAATTCCCATATGCCAATAATAATCTCTACACTTAATTACCACAAAAATTTGTCCAAACATTTTGGACAAGTTCTAATTGAAAATCCCCTCTTGTCATCTATCAAATAACCCTCACAATCCATATAAGGACACTCAATAATGTCACACGAAAACAAAGCTTCAGCTTCACGAACCGTATCCATCCATTGATTCATAAATTCAGGTGGCACGAAATATTCATTGATCAAAATTTGCTCTTTGCAATTCGATACTGGACACTTTACTTGCGTTAGAGTTTCTTTGATCCTTTCGCGCACATAATTAACGATACACGGGCCCTGCTTTATGGTATCGTTGTTTACTGGTTTTGGTTCGTTGCATATAGTACAAAAAACGCATGAGGGTTCACCTTTTTTATACTTGCTGTTACAACAGTCGATTCTTCCGTTAGTTTCAACAAAGCTACACGAATAGTCAATGCCTTTCTTCTTAACGTCGTTAAGGGAAGCCATCACTCTGTTGTTGGTGTGGAAAAAGAAAAAAAGCTATATTTTGGTAAGGTATAGTTTGATGTGTATATATAGAGAAAGAAAAATTTATTTGTTTTACTTTCCTTTTCCTTGTTTATTTTGGCTTCCTTGATAAAATTAAGGTTTGACGATTTTTTATTTAGGTATCCTGGTTGGATTTGGATTAGTTTACGATTAAAATTAAGATTAATTAATTAATTTTTTATTATTATTATTAAAATCAAATATAATTCATGTTCATCGGTTTTGTTGTTGTTGGTTTGGTTTGATTTTCTTATAGAAACTTAATGGTATTTCTCTTTTTTATTATTTTCTTTAGAAAATAATTTTTCATTCTTTTTCCAACTTATAATTTGTTAATAATCTTTTATTGTGGTGGCTATATTTTTTTGGGTTGTGGAGGAAATATTTTAAGCTCTATAAACTTTAATCAAGTGAATAGAGTTGATAAGAGTAAAAAATAGGTAAATCTCATAGTTATTTTTTTTAATAAATAAGTTTGGATTCTGAATAATGTATAAAGTTCACTAGTTTATTAGAAATAAACAAATTCTTCATCAAAAAGTATATTGTGTATTTATAATTATTTTATGAAAAATTAATAAATACTCCCTCCGTCCCTATTTAGTTGTTCATTTTAGAAATGGCACACAGATTAGGCAACAATTATTAGCATAGTGAAGTTACAATATTACCCTTACAGTACAATTTACAATTTCAAAATAAATTCACTCAAGATACTAATCAATGCTGGAAAGTTCATAAATTTATTTACTTTATTTATGATAACTTTTCACTTTAAATAAGGGTATAATAGGAAAAAATTTGTTGTCTTTTCTTGATTTGTCAAAGTGGACAACTAAATAGAGACAACTAAAAGAGGAAATATGGACAACTAAATAGGGACGGAGGGAATAGTATATACACGGGACAAATTTACTTGATAAACAAATAAAAAAAATTCTTCAAAATTCTATATTCGTCTCTAACAAAAACTGATAAGTCGCTAATTGTTGATCTCTAATTTGCTAGTAGCCACCAGAATTTCATTCTTAGTCCATCAAATAAAAAAAATAGCGACAATTTTTTCTGTTTAGCTACAAAATTAGTCCATCATAAATTTCTATGGACTATGAAAAGGTGAATGTAACTTGATTCTTAGCACCACGCCGCCGGTAATCCCCCGACGGAACGGTAATTTGAGTACTCCGGCCAACCTGTCGACGCCGATGGATAAAAGATGCTAACATTTTTTTAGTAAAAGTCTCAATTTTTTTCAATTCATCCAAGTATATCTGTCTATTCCGGCAATCCACATTACAGAAACCCAGCTCACCCCTGCATTAGTTAATCCAATCATAAATTAAGTGCACTAATTGATTAAGATGTCTATCAATTAAGCAATATTGAGCTAGCGTTTGATCATAAATTTTAAATTAGCTTTTAAAATTTTAATCTTAAGATATTTTTAAGTTTTCAAACAGGCAACACTTCCACTCACAAAACATCAAAATTTTTCAAGTAAAATGTATGTCGAATTAACACAATTTCAAGTTCCAATATTAATTTCAAAAACTCAATATTTTCAAGGTTTAACTTTAAAATTTATGAACGAATAAAAGTTAGTTAACTCTGATGAAAAATAAATGTGTCCTAATTTATGTGACATTACTGAACCAATAGTGAAGTTAAGAGTTTTGTTAAATGTATTCAACATTTATACATATGTCATTTGTGCAATGAGTTCAGCTGACTATCTTTCACTCCATAGAGCTTTATATGTAATTGTGTACAATGTCTAAAAATTAAGAAATGATTTTCAAAAAATGTAGTCTAAAACAAATTAAAAGATATATGCGTGGTTAAAATTCTCTCATTAAGAATAAAATAAATTTTAAAATCAAATTATTTCTAAATATCTAAATAGGAAAAATGGCTAAAATGACACCTAAATTATAGCCAAATCTTTGCAATAACACACATATATTGTGGGAGGGCGAGGAGGCGTTATTTTTAAAAGGGAAAAGACTCAAATATGGCAATGAACTTTGAGGAAGACTCATTTATGTCATATGTTTAAAGTTTGGCTCATCTATGCCATTTTCGTTTGAGAAAAGGCTCATTCATGCCATTTTTTATGTTAACTAAAAAAAAGTTTTGGTTTTGCAAAATAATTTTTTACACGTGGTCAATTATGATTCGGCCACGTCATTAATTAAATAATTCTTTTAAAAGGAAAATGCTCAAATATGCTATCGAACTTTGAGAAGAGGTTCATCTATGCCATCCGTTTAAAGTTTGGCTCATCTATGTCATTTCAGACAAATAATGGCATAAATGAGCTTCTTCTCAAACAGAAATGATATAGATGAGACAAACTTGTAACTGATGGCATAAATGAACCGTTTCTCAAAATTTGATTGCACATTTGAGCTTTTTTGGACAACTAAAAAAGAAAGTATCGCATAAACTAAAATGCAGAATTACATACTTGTACATGTAAACTTCCTTGTGAAGGTGAAGAGGCTTATGACAGAAGAAACAACATTTGAGAAAACACTTGTAGTAGTAAAGAGCATTGCAAGAATATTGATCTCTAATATGATTCATAAGAAAAATTATGGATTTAATTTTTTTAGATTTTAGAAAACTGGGATCTTTTAAATACTTCTGATGAGAAAATGATAAAACTGTATGCTCTTCTTTCAATTTTGTAAAGCCCATTTGATATATTTGGTTCGTTGAAAAATCAGTACGGGAAAGATGAATATATAAGGGCAAGAGAAGTGATTGTACAACAAATTAACTGGGAAAATGTACACATTTTTATAAAGGGTGTCAAATGAGTGGTTGGATTGAAATTGGAAATACTCTGTCTGTTTAATAATAATTGTTCATTATTGACTTTTCACATATTTTAAAAAATTATAAATAGAAGGGTAATCTTACTTCACATGTTGAAAATAATAAATACAATGTCTTAAAAAATGTAATAAGGAAATGACTATAATTTATGATAAGGATAAATTAGGAATTAAGTGTAAAATTATTCATTGATTTTATAAAATGGACAAATATTGTTGGACATTTCAAATTAGTATAGTTTACAATTATTGTTGGACGGAGGGAGTATTAAAATATGTTGAAATAGAAATTTGATTGGGTCTTGCCCTGCCCAAATTTACTTTGGGGCTCAAATGAGCTAAAATCGAATTGGTCATGATCCGCTCAATTTAATCCGCTTAATCTCAATAACATTAACATAATGTTATTTAACTTTTATAACTATAATTTAAATTTCAACTCAAATTTTTTTTTTTTAAAAAAGTTACAAATGGATAAAAAAATTCTAAAAGATATAAAACAGACAGTGATTCATATCTTCAATATAGAAACAACATACATTATAAATTTTAGGAATCACATAGTTTTAATATGAAATTACAATCTATCCCTATTTAGTTTGTAATTACATTAATCCCTGAAAAAGTAAAACAAACCGGATACATAATATGTAGCTTGGATACATTAAAAACTAGCTCGGATACATTATAAAATAAATCGGATACATAATATGTAGCTAGGATACATTAAAAACTAGCTCAAATACATTATAAAATAATTTAGAGTTAGGAAAGAAGTAAGGGATTTTAGAGGTTTTTAGAAATAGACTCTTAAAATGGGTTAAGGCTTAAATGAGTGAGATTGAACCCAATTCAAATTATCTTGAGCCAACCCTTAAAATTCTAACAAATTGAGTGGGTTACATATATTTGGACTCATTTTTGATACCCCTGATTTGTTTTTCAACAATCTAAAAATTTATATCCACATTTCAACTCCAAAACCAAATCTAACATTTTGTTACATGAAATATGGGGGGCTACATGTGATTAAATCGTGAGGAAAATAAGGACCACTCAATTGGAAGCAACAAGTGATTAAATCGTGAGGAAAACAAGGACTACTCAATTGGAAGCACAATAATGTATGCAGTGGCGGAGCCACCCTATCTTTAGGGGGTCATCCGACCCCCCTTCGGCGGAAAATTATATTATTTTTACATGGTTAAAATATTTTTTTATGTATATATAGTAGATGTTGAACCCCCTTAGGCTACTTCGTGTGTCTATTTTTTCAGATTTTGAACCCCCTAATTAAAAATTCTGACTCCGCCACTGAATGTATGTACGTACTAGTAATATGTTCGCTCTTTGCGATGAGAAAAAAATTAGTTAAATATTTAAATAAATCATTTCTTATATCCAAATATCAAAACTATTTTAAAAATCCTTTCTAATTTTTAAATTCAAATAGATTTAAATTTTAAGTTCTAGTTAGTATTAAATTACAGTTTAAGCAATGCAATAATAACTATTGAAATAATTCAATGTAGTGTGTATTTTTTGTTATTGATTATAATTGTAATTTAAAATAATAAATATATCATACAATATTAAATATATTATAGGATGTGTTTGATTTTTGGAACAAAATGAAAAGAACACAAATGGTCATCGAGCTAAAGGTTTATTGTAGCAAAGTCGTAGAAGTAAATTTTGTATAAAAATGTAACTTTTGCATTATTTATCATACATAATATTCGTCGAAAATTCATCTATTCAATGTAAAAATTTAAGCAACACAAGATAAACTTGTCAAATATGCATAATTATATAATAAAAAAAAACAAACAAACTCATCATATTAATGCACAATAAACAAAAAAATACGTATAAAGATAAAATAATTTTTTAAAAATTTGTATTGCAATAAAGCACAAACATGATTTTTTTTTATTAATCATCATCACTATTGTTGACATCCCTTAAAGGCGCAACGTCGCAGTGACTTAAAAATTAATTAATTTTAAAAGAATAAAAGAATTTTAAAAGGGAAAGGGGTAAAAGGAAGTAGCCACCTAATTTTAGGAAAAACTAGGAAACAATTAATTAATTGGAAAAAGGACAAATATACTCCCAAACTATCGTTAATGGTATACAAATACCCTCCGTCATACTTTTCGTTCATTAGTGCCCTTACCGTCCAAAACCAGTGCACATTTGCTCCTCCCACTAATGGAAGACTTATTTGGTACACACGGCGCAATCCTACGGCTCAACCCGATCTGATCAATTATTTAACTCAAAATGCAAATACCCACCCATTACCCGTTTAACCAACCCGATTTATCCATTACACACACAAATAAACCCATTTTCAAATTTTACAATCACCACTATCAATTGGTGTGAGTAAACATTTAAAAATGAAGGGACCTAAAAATTGATCGAGTTCTTGTCTTCTTGTTCCTTCGTCTCGAAATAAGTGTTATCTTAGCAATTCTTTTAGTGGACATATTTTTTGCTAAAATAACATTTATTTTGAGATAGAAAGAGGGTAAATTGTGCTCTCTTTGATATATAGCAAATTGATAAACATTAATGATTTTTTTGTCTTTTCCCTTTTCAAATTAAGTTTTTATTTTTTAATGTTATGTAATTAATAGTCCTTGAATAAAAAGATTGATATTAATGAATTTATATATAAGTTGAGTGGCTTTTCTAAGTATCTAAAATAGTATTAGTCTTTTGTAACCCTTTTATTTAATTTATATCATTTAGTATTAGAGCAAATAGTTTAATATTTACTAGAGTTAAAAAAAATTGTGGCCTGAATCTAAGAGGGGTATTAATCGTGATCAAGAGTGTCATTACATTGATGAGAATTTAAAGAGGATACCAACCGTGACCAATCATTAATTCTCAAGCAATGACAATAATTATGTGTTAATTGTCCTTCACATATTTATTTATTTGTTTGATGATATATTTAAGTAAGGTGCATGCCTAAATTAAGATAATAATTGTGATTCCTTTTAAATTGCCATAATCCAAGTCCTATTAGATACGTAACTTTACTTGTCTCTTCTCATAATCCAAATCCTATCAGGTTACTAATTCAACGTAACCAGGCTTGCCTAAATATATATTATAAAGTTTAATATTCTTTTAACCATCAATCAAAACACATATTGTTAAATTAAACTTTCAAACTTATACATTCATCTCAATCTGTAACTTTTCAATATACTCTTCATACATAATATGTCTAGGGTTCCCTTCACCAATGTTCTCCTTCTCAATCTCAGGAGATACACAATAGATAATTTTAAAGTGCGGACTATTGTTTCGAATATCAAGAAATTGATCGAATCGTCTCCGTCTCCGCCTCCGCCTCCTTCGATTGAGATGTAATTTGGATGAGAGATCCTAAAATTGGAAATTGGATACCAGAAACTCACTTCGATACCATTGATGTCATGAAGTTACGAGACAAATTTCTACCCACCAGTAGAAAATATACAAGGCCAAACGCATAGATTATATATAGTAGTATAGTGTTATATAGAATTCGTCAATATTCAAAGTAGAATATTTAAAGAGTAGTTTTCAATTTTATACTTCTTTCGTATTATATTAGTTATCCTTTTTTTATTGCACTTTATTTATATGGTGTATTCATTAATACCAACAAGATTAATCAAGGAGGAACGTTTTTAACCACCCTATGGGATTTCGACTCAACTCATTTCACTAAAATAATATTGAGCCAGATTCATATTGACAACTCTTTGAACAAATACTAATTTGTCTTCAAAAGTTTAACTTGTGTATGTTTCCATGGAATGACGAGTTAATATCTCAAATGGTCACTCAACTTTGAATAGTTTACTTAGAAATTGACTCAACTTTATTTTATAACTCAAAAAGTCACTCAATTATTGATATTTCACTTAGAAAGTCACTCAACTATTAATTCATAGTTATTTTTTTTAATAAATAAGTTTGGATTCATGACTTTCTATTTAAAAAATGAGCTTAATGAATAATGTATAAAGTTCACTAGTTTATTAGAAATAATTAAATTCTTCATCAAAAAGTATATTGTGTATTTAAAATTATTTTATGAAAAAATAATAAATAGTATATACACGGGTCAAATTTACTTGATAAACAAACAAAAAAAATTCTTCAAAATTCTAAATTCGTCTCTAACAAAACCTTACGAGTCGCTAATTTGTTGATCCCTAAATTGCTAGTAACCACCAGAATTTCATTCTTAGTCCATCAAAAAAAAAAAAGCCTACAAAATTAGTCCATCACTAATTTCTATGGACTATGAAAAGGTGAATGTAACTTGATTCTTAGCACCACGCCGCCGGTAATCCCCCGACGGAACGGTAATTTGAGTACTCCGGTCAACCTGTCGACGCCGATGGATAAAAGATGCTAGCATTTTTTTAGTAAAAGTCTCAATTTTTTTCAATTCATCCAAGTATATCTGTCTATTCCGGCAATCCACATTACAGAAACCCAGCTCACCCCTGCATTAGTTAATCCAATCATAAATTAAGTGCACTGATTGATTAAGATGTCTATCAATTAAGCAATATTGAGCTAGCGTTTGATCATAAATTTTAAATTAGCTTTTAAAATTTTAATCTTAAGATATTTTTAAGTTTTCAAACAGGCAACACTTCCACTTACAAAACATCAAAGTTTTTCAAGTAAAATGTATGTCGAATTAACACAATTTCAAGTTCCAATATTAATTTCAAAAACTCAATATTTTCAAGGTTTAACTTTAAAATTTATGAACGAATAAAAGTTAGTTAACTCTGATGAAAAATAAATGTGTCCTAATTTATGTGACATTATTGAATCAGTAGTGAAGTTAAGAGTTTTGTTAAATGTATTCAACATTTATACATGTCATTTGTGTACCGAGTTCAACTGACTATCTTTCACTCTATAGAGTTTAAATGTAATTGTGTACAATGTCTAAAAATTAAGAAATGATTTTCAAAAAATGTAGTCTAAAACAAATTAAAAGATATATGCGTGGTTAAAATTCTCTCATTAAGAATAAAATAAATTTTAAAATCAAATTATTTCTAAATATCTAAATAGGAAAAATGGCTAAAATGACACTTAAATTGTGGCCAAATCTTTGCAATAACACACATATATCGTGGGAGGGCGAGGAGGTGCTATTTATAAAAGGGAAAAGACTCAAATATGTCAATTAACTTTGAGAAAGACTCATTTATGCTATCCGTTTAAAGTTTGGCTCATCTATGCCATTTCAGACAAATAATGGCATGAATGAGCTTCTTCTCAAACATAAATGATATAGATGAGACAAACTTGTAACTTATGGCATAAATGAACCTTTTTCTCCAAATTCGATGGCACATTTGAGCTTTTTTGGACAACTAAAAAAGAAAGTATCACATTAGCTGAAACGCAGAATTACATACCTGTACATGTAAACTTCCTTGTGAAGGTTAAGAGGCTTATGACAGAAGAAACAACATTTGAGAAAACAATTATAGTAGTAAAGAGCATTGCAAGAATATTGACCTCTAATTTGATTCATAAGGAAAATTATGAATTTAATTTTTCTAGATTTTAGAAAATTGGGATCTTTTAAATACTTCTGATGAGAAAATGATGAAACTATATCTCTTTGCTTGCTTTTAACTTCATGATGAGCTTTAGAACACTTGTGCTCTTCTTTCAATTTTGTAAAGCCCATTTGATATATTTGGTTGTTGAAAAACCAGTAAGGGAAAGAAGCAGATATAAGGGCAAGAGAAGTGATTGTACAACAAATTAATTGGGAAAATGTACACATTTTTATTAGGGGTGTCAAATGAGCGGTTGGATTGAAATTGGAAATATTCTCTCTGTTCAATAATAGTTGTCCATTATTGATTTTGCACACTTTTTAAGAAATATAATTAGAAGAGTGATTTTACTATATCACATATTGAATATAATAAATACAATGTCACGAAAAATGTAATAGGAAAATGATTATAATTTATGATAAGGATAAATTAGAAATTAAGTGTATCTTACTCATTGATTTCATAAAATGAACTAGTATTTGTTGGACATTCCAAAATAGTATAGTGTATAACTATTGTTGGACGGGGAGTATTAAATAGGTTGAAAAAGATATTAGGTTGGGTCTTGATCCGTCCAAGTTTACTTTGGGCTCAAATGAACTAAAAATCAGGTTGGTCATGATCTGCTCAATTTAATTCACTTAATCTCAATAATTTTAACATATTGTTATTTAACTTTTATAACTACAATTTGAATTTCAGCTCAAAAATATTATTTTTTAAAAAAATTACAAATGAATTGATAAATCCTAAAAGATATAAAACAAATAGTAATTCATATCATCAATATAGTAACATCAGGGGCAGAGGCAGCATATACTTAGGGGGTTCATCCTAACCCCCTCGGCGGAAAATATTACTATCTATACATGGTTAAAATTATTTTTTAGGTATGTATAATAGATGTCGAACCACCTTTCACTAGTTCATGTGTTTACTTCTCAGATTTTGAACCCCCTTATTAAAAATACTGGCTCCGCCACTGAGTAACATACATTACATCAATGCAAATAAAGAGTCTTAAAACGGGTTAAAATTTATCTTGAGTCCAACCCTTAAAATTTTGACAAATTGTGCGGGTTACATGTATTTGGACTACCCTAATTTTTATTTTCAACAACCTAAAAAATTTATATCCAAGCACAAATTTCCACATTTTAACTCCAAAACCAAATTTTACATTTGTTTAGGTGCAATTAAAAAAAAACCATTTTGTTAGGTGCAATATGGGGGGCCATATGTGATTAAATCGTGAGGAAAATAAGGACCATTCAATTGGAAGCACATTAAATGTATGTACGTATTGTAGGACAAGATATGATTAAAATCCTATAGGCAAACCAAATGTTACGTCAAATTATCAAATACTCCATTTAACTTGTGTTTTTATTTTTCTTTATGTTCATTATAAAAAAAAAAAATACAAAATATAATTTAGTAGTATCAGAGCAAATAGTTTAATATTTACTTGAGTGTAATAAATTGTGGCCTGAATCTAAGAAAGGTTATCAATCGTGACCAACTAATAAAATGTCAAAAAGATAATATTAATTCAAAGAGGGTACCAACCGTGACCAATCATTAATTGTGTCAATTGTTTTGCACATATTATTCTTTTTTTTAAAAAAAAAACTAAAACTAGTAATATGTTTATAAGTTGAGTGGGCTCTTTCACTTAATTCCATAAAGATTAGCTAAATTATAGATAAGTATATATGAATAGAAAATCAGTTAATTCATTAACAAAACCAGTTTAATGATATATTTAAGTAACGTGCCTAAAATAAGATAATAATTGTGATTCCTTTTAAATTCTCATAACCCAAGTCCTATTAGGTTACTAATTCAGCCAGCCTTGCTTGTATATATTATAAAGTTAAATATTCTTTTAACCATCAATCAAAACACATATTGTTAAAATTAAACTTTCAAATTTATACATAACTTGTCAATATACTCTTCAGAAATAATGTCTAGGGTTCCCTTCGCCAATGTTCTCCTTCTCAATCTCAGGAGATACACGGTAGATAATTTTAAAGTGCGGACTATGGTTTCAAATATCAAGAAATTGATCGAATCGTCTTCGCCTCCTACTCCTACGTCGAAAGGTGTAGAGAAAGATGTATTTTCGATGAGAGATCCTAAAACTGGAAATTGAATACCAGAAACTCACTTCGATACCATCGATGTCGTGGAGTTACGAGACGAATTTCTACCCACTAGTAGAAAATTTACGAGGCCAAACGCAGAGATTATATATAGTAGTGCTATATAGAATTAGTCAATATTCAAAGTAGAATTTAAAGTGTAGTATTCAATATTATTATTGTTTTATACTTCTTTCGTATTATATTACTTGTCTTTTTTGATAATAAATACTAATTTTACCTCTTTTAACTTTTTTATTGCACTTTATTTATATGTCGTATTCATTAATACCAAGATTAAGGAGGAACGTTTTTAACCACCCTATGGGATTTCGACTTAACCCATTTCACTAAAATAATATTGAGCCAGATTCATATTGACAACTCTTTGAACAAATACTAATTTTATCTTCAAAAGTTTGACTTGTGTGGAAAGTTTCCACTGAATGTCGAGTTAATATCTCAAATGGTCACTCAACTTTGAATATTTCACTTAGAAAGTCACTCAACTTTTACTTAGAAAGTGACTCAACTTTATTTTATAACTCAAAAGTCACACAATTATTTATATTTTACTTAGAAAGTCACCCAACTAAATAAATTATAATATTCAAAAATAATAAAATTCTCATTTAATTATTTTATTAAATTTTGTTGAAATATAATTTTTAGTTTTAAACCAATTTTTTTTAACGATAAAAGATTGGTATTGTGGATTAGTTCTGATCAATTCCGATGTCCTTTTGTTGGATCATTTTTCAGCTTATTTAATTCCACTAAACTAATGCTAAAATGGAAAATATTTTTTTGTTTTTCTCTATTGCTACAGTTCAAAAAAATATAATTAAATAATTGGAGTGAATTAGTAAGATAATTAAAACAGATATCTTCTTATTTCTTAAAGAAAAAGTTTAAAATAAAATTAGATTTCAACAAAATTTAATGAAAAACACATTTAAATTGATTGGTGACTTTTTAAGTAAAATTTCAATAATTGAGTAATTTTCCAAGTAAAATACCAATAGTTGAGTGAATTTCTAAGTGAACTATTCAAAGTTAATAATCATCTGAGATATTATCGCCTGAATGTCTAGGCTGGGATAAATTAAATAGGCTACACTGTTATGAGCTGAAGCATCAATAATTACAAGCAAATCCCAACTAGAAAATGAGAAATAAACCCAACAAATTTGAGACATTACAGTCCTTGCAGTTCTACTATAGAAGTAGGCAGACAAAACATTTGCAGGCATGAGTCAACAGGCACTGCTTATTCCAAATTCTCTGTTATTAGGTTTCAGGTAGGAGGTACTCTCTGATTCCTTAGCCGCGGAATTCATCCATGAACTTTTTATGGAATTCTGTAAGACGAGATACGATAGCTGGTATCTTCTCTTCTTGTGGTAATATTGTGCACCTAAAATGCCAGGTTCCAGGAACCTATACACGAGCAAGAACCAAATACTAAGGTGTAAGAGAAGATTAAAAATGCCTATTTTTCCTTCAACAATATTTCACTATTTAAGTGAAAGAGTCATGTAAATTTGTTGAAAATGGTAAATAATTACAAAAATTATCAGTATTAATAATGACATTTACCATAGCTATAAATGTAAGAATTACCTGACGGAATCCAGAACCTGGAACAACAACAATTCCAGTGGCATTAAGAAGGTGTTTAGCATAAAAAGCGTCTGGTGCAGTTTTAGCTTCTTCTGCTGCTTTTATTGCTTTATCGGGTAAATTAATACATGGAAAAAGATACATAGCCCCTTCTGCCCTATTGCATGTCACTCCTTCCAAACTATTCAGTGCATCTTCTAGCGTCTGTTGGAATTGTTAAAATAGATGTGCAAAAAAGACGAGAATTAGATCATTTAAAAAGTTGAAGCTAAAAGAACTCAGTTGGGCAAATTACAAACATCATCTTTGCTTGCTATATCAACAGGTTTTATAGTCAGGTTCAGATAATCAGGTCAAGTTTGTCCTATATGTCAGTTCTCACTAACCTTAGCACGTCTCGCCAAGGACGAGAGTATCGCTTCTTTCTCGGCAGAAAAAGACTCGTATGATTCATCTCCTACCTGTATAAAACCATGCTTTCAGCATTAACCTTTTCCTCTTTGGGGAATATGACAGCCAGGAACATACTATAGAGATAAAGCAATACTATATGAGCTCAGACTCTTCAAAAATTGCCACTGGGTGTGTTGGATCCTCCAAAAGTAGTGCATTTTTGGAGTATCTGACACAGATAAGGCTTCATTGTTGGAGAGTCCGAGCAACATAGGGCCAATACTAACCTTTGGGGGACTCATGATGAGGCTTGCAAGTATCTGACCAGAGATGTTGGAACACAAATTGACAGACGCCAATTTGTATATCTGCTCCCTCACTTCAGGGCTAAAACCAGTGACCTCCATGTAACCTCCTCGCTTTCCACACTCTCCATAGAACCCTAAAGCCACCAATATATATAAAAAGATTAGAACAAAAATTATTTGCATTGGAAGAATATAACTTCCTATCCCCCTAAACCACCCTGACCCACTACCCAAAGAAATTAAAGAGGCAAGATAAAGTGAAACATGTACCTTTGGACACAGACTGAAAAGACACCAAGGATATATCCGTTTCCCCATATCCCATAGAGCGGGAAATTTTCTTAAATGAGTGAAATTTCTTGTCAGGCACATAAACATTTTCTTGATAGACCTGTATGAGTTCAACCAATTATGAAAGAGAATTACAATGTTGAAGTTTAATACAACCCTAGATTTCTCCGTAATGCAAAATCTGATAGTGAAACATTTAAAAACAAGTTTAGAGCCGCTGATAATCAAGCTCTTGACGAAGCAAAAGAATTTGTCATATCAAGCATAGAAGCATTTTAGAGGATAAAATTGACTTACTTCATCAGCCAGAAGGACAAGTCCTTCCTTCTTGCAGAATTCTACAATTTCCCGTTGGTTGGCCTCACCAAGAACCTATAGTTATGCATAGGAAAATATTCATGCCATATGAAAAGGTTAG